TCTCTCTCTCTCTCTCTCTCTCTCTCTCTCTCTCTCTCTCTTACTCTCTCTCTCTCACACATACACACACACACATACAATCAGTTGTATGTTTGTCTGTTTTCCTGTTGTTGTCTGTCCTCCCCCTAATCTTTTCTAAGTGTTTTTGCTTACCCAAACTAAGCACCCTTAAGTAGTGCCAAACAGTCGGTGGTTCCTCGTTTGGAGTGACTGCACTCTTATGGGGGCCGCTCAGTTCGGGATGTTTGTGTTGCCTGTAGGTGATGATGGATGCTCGTCGGAGTGACTCCCTGGCTCAATGGGTGGTGGGAACCAACAATCTGCAGGTTTCAATCGTAATGTGAGTAGGTCATGCACTGCTTTGCTTCGTGTTGGATTTGTGGACGACCTTGTCTGCGCACCACCGCCGCCTTGCTGCATGTCCCGCTTGCTTTGCATGTTGTTCTCTGCAAGTTGTTGTCTTCGCTGTGTGGTGTGGCTGTGTTGTCAGTGTTGCCTTGCGCTTAGCTGCTCCACTGCCTTGCTGCCCATCCGCTGGCCGTGCCTTATGTATTTCCACGCTGCGTGCCATGTTTTTCCTTGCAATCGTTTTTGGCGTTGTGCAGCCGTGTTGCCTCCAGTGTGCTGCCTGGTGCTCCATAGAGTTGTCGCCCGCTGCTTTGTTCCGCTTGGGGACATTCTGCCTTCAACAAGGGTCAGAGGGTTCATGACCCAAACCACCCAATATGGAGATTCCCGCAAATTGTCGAGGGTTCAACCTCTTGATGAGTCGGTTCAACTCCGACGAAACAATCTTTCATCATCAGTTTTTATTTTATTTTTTCAGGCTCTGAAGCTTTCATGGACTTTTTTTTTTTTTTCTCTTGCCTTTTGTGCTTGTTGTTGTCTGTCGTCCTATATCCCTCGTGCCTTTCAGCCCTTTGGTCATTTTTTTGTTGTCCGCCGTGTCTGTTGCTGGTGTGTACACGATTTCACACCGCCATCTTTGGCGATTTTTCATTTTATTTTGCCTTAGCAAAATGACTCCAAAATTGAGAGGCATGTACCTCACATCATACAGAACTCATAAAAAAAAAATCAGAAAACAAAAGTTACTTTTAGGCATTAAAATGATTTTGTTTTAAAAATAAAAAAATAAAAAATAATTGAACGCCGTTCAATTTTGAACGCGAACGCGCAGTCCGCGTTCAAACGCACATTTGAACGCGAACGCGCAATCCGCGTTCAAACGCACATTTGAACGCGAAGGCGCGTTCAAACAGTTACACAGGCCAGCCGTGCGGTTTTTTTTTTTTTTTTATCAACTCTGCATTTCAGTAATTAAGTTCATATTCACACAAGCATTTTGTACATGTCGAGATTAGTGGAGCGGGGCCAAATGGTTGTGCGTTCGGCTAAGTTAGTATGCGAGAGAAATTGCTCTCTCTCTCTCTCTCTC